AGGGACAGCACCCAGGCCCAGAGTTCAGGCCTCAGGACTGACAAAAAAAGAAGAAGAAAAGAAATGTATTCTAGGCTAGTTCACTGAGAAAGTCAAAATTTGTGATTACTATCCCTGCCCTCTCCCCGCTCCTCCCGCCCCCCACCGACTCCCAGCCTTGGTGCCAGTCCTAGGGCTTGAACTCAAGGCCTGGTCACTGGCCCTGAGCTTTTTTGCTCAAAGCTAGAACTTTGCCATTTGAGCCACAGCTCTGTTCTATGTCTATCTTTTTGGTAGTTAATTGGAAATTAACTCACAGACTTTCCTCCCCAGTCTGGCTTCAAACTGTGATACTCAGACATTAGCCTCCTGAGTAGCTGGGATCACAGAAATGAGCCACCAGCACCCAGCTTGATATTCTTATTTTTAATTATAATAGTCATACTATCTATGGAGGTACCCTTGGCCTCAGCTATACTTCTTTATGTATTTGTCAGACTGTTGTTTTTTTTTTTTTTTTGTCAATCATGGGGCTTGAACTCTGGGCTTGGGCGCTGTCCCTGTGCTCTTCAGCTCAAGGCAAGCACTCTACTGCTTAAGCCACAGTGCCACCTCCGCTTTTCTAGTTGTTTATTGGAGATAAGAGTCTAACTGACTTTCCTGCTCAGCTGACTTTGAACCTCGATCCTCAGATCTCAGCCTCCTGAGTAGCTAGGATTACAGGCATGAGCCACTAGCACCCGGCTGTCAGACTGTTCTTGTGGAAAACTGAGTTTCCTCATTGAAATTGTACAACTGCGTGCATTCCAATGGGATAATCTCATCCAAGACCTAACTTTATTTTCTCACTTCACTAGTTCATAAATGGCTTCATGTTGATATATTATTCAATACTTCCTATAGGCTTGAGAAAATTAATATAGTCATTCTGAAGATTTTTTTTTTTTTTTTTGTCAGTCATGGGGCTTCAACACCTAGTCATGGGGCTTCAACACCTAGGCCTGGGCGCTGTCCCTCAGCTCTTTAGCTCAAAGCTAGCCCTCTACCACTTGAGCCACAGTGCCACTTCCAGTTTTCTGGTGGTTTATTGGAGATAAGAGTTTCATGTACTTTCTTGCCCAGGCTAGCTTTGAACCGAGATCCTCAGATCTCAGCCTCCTGAGTAATTAGGATCACAGGTATGAGTCACCAGTGCCAAGCAAATCATCTCTTCTCCCAGTAACTGTTTTCCTATTTTACAAATGAGATGAGAAAACTGAAGTTCAAAGGTACTGCCATGCCTAATGGTACTGTACATGCCTAATGGTACTGTGAGGGCTGTTAGTGGAGCTGGGTTCCAAGCAGTCTGAACTGGAGTCTGTACTTAAGAATTATTCTAGGGGGGCTGGGAAGGTGGCTCAGTGGTAGAGCGCTTGCCTTGCATGCCTTGAGGCCCTGGGTTCGATTCCTCAGCACCATATAAGCAAAAAGAAAAAAGCCGGAAGTGGCGCTGTGGCTCAAGTGGTAGAGCGCTAGCCTTGAGCTGAAGAGCTGAGGGACAGCGCCTAGGCCCAGAGTTCAGGCCCCACAACTGGACCAAAAAAAAAAAAAGAATTATCCTAGGCATGGCTCACGTGTTACAGCACCTGCTTAGCAAGTGCATAGCCTTGAGTTCAAACCCTAGAACCTCAAAAAAATCTATACTCACCAAATATAGAAACATGAAATAAGAGGTTATCACTACAGACTTCATTCTGTTGAGATATAGCTATAAAATTATCCCACCACACACAAAATTTATGAAACATACCATATAGGGGCTTACCCCTAGGGAGGCAGTGCCCAAGATCTAGTCTACTTTGTTCCTGACATCTACCCTTTTTGAATTTTGTGGGGAAAATGCTTTCAAAACCAAGTCAGGCCATCACATGGATTAGTTACCTGCTGAGTCCCAAAAGCTTTGCATATAATGTCATATTTAATCTTTTGAGTCCTATAATACAGTTATATTCTACTATAGATGAGAAAATTGAGTAGCAGAGAGAAATCAAGTAATTTCCTATAATGCTGGCTATTCAGGAGACTGAGATCTGAGGACTGAGGTTCAAAGCCAGCCTGGACAGAGAAGTCTGAGAGTCTTACCTCCAATTTACCAGCAAAAAGCCAGCAATGGAGCTGTGGCTACAGTAGTAGAACACCAGAGCACCAACCTTGAACAAAAAAGCCAAGTGAAAATGTGTGTCCAAGCTCAGAACTGGTGTGCGCACACGCGCGTGCGCGTGCACACTCACACACACACACACACACAGAATGTCAGAGTCTTATCTGGGTCTTCAAGCTCCATGGGGCCACTTTATCAGCCCTGGGTTGCTTATATGAGAAATAAAACTCTGTTTAAGGGAACTGTTATGTGGGCTTTTCTTCTTTTTTTCCCAGCTGGTGAACCTGCATCCTGACCAATACACCTTGAAAACCTGAGAAGATAATAAGCTCTGCCCAGTGAGGGTGGCTCACGCCTGTAATCCTAGCTACTCAAGAGGCTGTGATCTGAAGATCACGGTTCAAAGCCAACTCGGGCAGGAAAGTCTGTGAGACTCTTATGGAGAAGTGGTGCTTATGGAAGTGGCGCTGTGGCTAAAGTGATAGAGCTTTGAGCTAAAGAGCTGAGGGACAGTGCCCAGGCCCAGAGTTCAAGCCCCATGACAGACAGACAGATGGAAAGAAAGAAAGAAAAGCTCCATTTAGATAAGGATGACTGGTTATGTCCCTATTATCTGGACTTCTTAGCACACAGTAGATCCTCTACTAATACTTTAGTGAATACAAGAAAATCTTTGGAAGTAGTTCTTGGTATAGTAGAAGCCCTTAAAATGTGGCAGAATATGCTACCTCAAAACAAGCTGCTTTTAGCAGGGTGCTGGCTTACATCTATAATCCTAGCTACTGGAGAGCCTGAGATCTGAGAATTGTAGTTCAAAGCCAACCTGGGGAGGACATTTTATCACTCTTAGCTCAGGTTAATTAGCAAAAAGCCTGAAGTGGAGCTGTGGCTCAAGTGGTAGATAGAGTGCTAGCCTTGAGTGAAAAAGGCACTGAACCAAGTCCCAGTACTGGTACCAGAAAAAAAGAGAGAAAGAAAAAAAAAAGAAAGGAAGAAAGAAAAGAGAGAAAGAAAGGAAGAAAGAAGAAAGGAAAGAAAGAAAAAAGTTAAGCTTGGCACCAGTGGCTCATACCTGTAATCTTAGCTACTCAGGAGGCTGAGATCTAAGGATGGAAGTTCAAAGCCAGCCTGGGCAGGCAAGTTTGTCAGACTTATCTCCAATTAACCAACAGAAAACCGGAAGTGGCACTGTGGCTCAAGGGACAGGCCCAGAGTTCAAGCCCCATGACTGAGAAAGGAAGGAAGGAAGGAAGGAAGCAAGCAAGCAAGCAAGCAAGCAAGCACTTTGGCATAAGAAACTAAAGTCACTTGGAATACAGTACACATATAAAGGGCAGTCTAACCTCCACTTTTCTTCCTGAAAGCAGGAAATAAGATTCTTGTGTGAAAAAATGTCTTTTTTTTTTTTTTTGGACATTCCTGGAGCTTGAATTCAGAATGTGTGCTCTTACTCTTTGATTGAATAAAATCTATGCTTTCTCTTATAAATTTGTGGTGTGTGTATGTATGTGTTGTTGGGATGGAACCCAAAGCTTTGAGCATACAGGTGAGTGCTCTGCTACTGGGCCATATCCCCAGCCATATTGATCTGTTTTATGTACATTTAATTCAAACTAGAGAGCCTAAAAGGGTAGAGGCTAAATTTTGACTTTCTTACATCCTTTTAGATGACATGATCACAAGTGAATTCAACTTAAACCAAAAATTCAAAGACTTGATCAGGTCTCTTAAGGATCCAACTTCAGTTTTTGTAGAAACAATGCTTATTTTCACATTGAGTTCTTTAATTTTTATAATCTTTAACAACATGAGCACATGCTGTAAACCACAGCAGGCTCTAACAGGCAAGGCATTATTGGGAAAGGGCTGCTGCTCAGCATTCTGGATGATGCCTGTTGCCTCAATGTGAATGAATATTGTCTTACTGTACCACTTGTGTGATCTGGGAACTCAAGTTACTTAACCTTTGAGTCCTCTTTTCTACCCTTGTTTTTGCTGTTTGTGTGTGTGTGTGTGTGTGTGTGTTTTGCCTTTAGTGTGTGTATACAGGTCCTGGAACTTGAACTCAGTGCCAAGGTGCTGTCCCTAAGCATTTGCACTCAAAGCTAGTGCTCTGCCTCTTGAGCCAGAGCTCCACTTCCAGCTTTTTGGTAGTTAATTGGAAATAAGAATATCATAGACTTTCCTGCCTGGGCTGGCTTTGAACCATGATTCTCAGATCTCAGCCTACTGTGTAGCTAGGATTATATGGTCTCACTGTATAGCTCAGGCTGGCCTCAAAAATATATATTTTTTGATCTGGGGCTTGAATTCAGAACCTGGACATTATCCCTGAGCTCTTTTGCTCAAGGTTAGCACTCTACCACTTTAAGGAACTACTCCACTTCTGGTTTTCTGGTGGTTAATTAAAGATAAAGAGGCTCCTGGACTTTCCTGTCCCGGCTCACTTTGAACCATGATCCTCGTATCTCAGCTTCCTGAGTAGCTAAGATTACAGATGTGAGCCACCAGTGCCTGGCAAATCTCAAACTTTGATCCTAATATTTCTGTCTATTGCGTGCTAGGATTGCAGGTGTATACCACTATGTGTAGCCCCTTCTTTTCCTTAGTTATGAAAGGAGATAATAATAGCACCTCATAAGCTTTTGTTTCCTTTCTGGATCAAAACCTAGTTGCTTAAGCTCTTTCCAGTTTGAAGAAACCATTTCTCAGTTGGGAGCTTTGGAGCCACTGAAGTTTCTCCAGATCGCCTCTCTCGTGTGAGAAACAGGGATGCAAGGCTAGAGAAGACAGCTTAGCCAACACATGATTCAGCTTCCTCCCCGAAATAGCAAAGCTCCAATCACTGTGGCCTGCAGACAGCACCAAGGGCAGCAACAACTGGAGGTGACATTTATTGAACATTAGATGCATGCTCCACATACTAAGTGTCTTACAAGTGTGGTCTCATAGCAAGCTTATGAGGCATTGTTATTTCACACAAGACTTTTGTTTCTGTTTTGCAGTGCTGGGGATTAAACCCAAGGTCCTGTGCATGCTAGGTAAGCACTGTACTACTGAGCTACAACCCTGTTTGGCCTTTTTGTCCATACTGGTTGAACAACTGGGAAGAGCCTCAGACCTCAGAAATCAGGTGTGTGTGTGTGTGTGTGTGTGTGTGTGTGTGTGTGTGTGTGTGCCACAAGATCATGCAGGAGCAGGTCACAGGATCATGCAGAAGCCAGATTGGGGGATTCTCTTCTGAGGGTTCCTGCTGAGGGTTTCTCTGGGCCATTTGCAGGACCTAAAGGAGGCATAGAGGATTTGCCAGTGGGGACACTGAAGACTGCCTCTCCCAGCTCTAGCTTCCCATGCCCTCTCTTTTCCTCACCTCTGTTTGTGGGCTCCAGTACAGGAGGCAGCAGCCTCAAGCTTTATTCCCGCTCCTTCCTCAGGATTTCCGCTTTCTCCAATGCCTGCAGGCAGGCCATGCAGGCGGCAGGGCATACCTTGTGTCTCTACAGCTGGATGAGGGTTGTTCATGTTGCTGAAGGGCAAAGACAAAGAGGCTCAGGATCCTAGACCCCAAGCAGCAGACCTCATCTTGCCCCGACTTGAACAAGTACTCATGCTCTATTACAATTAACCCAAGCCATGTCGTCTTCTACTTTCTTTGTCAATTTTCCAGGCTTCCTCCCTTCCTCCAGACACTCACCTATTGGCTTGGTGGCCTTTTGGTACCAGGATGTTAGGGCACTGCACTATGGGGGGGCCTGTGCCTCCAAATGGAAGATGGACACCGGGTCCTGCACCTGGATGGAGAGAGTCAGACATTCATCGCAGGCCTCTCTACACCAAGAACTATCACGGGGGGAAAGAGCATGTTCTGGAGGATGGTGCCGGTCACTGCACAAGGACAGTGGTCTCTACAAGGCAGGTGCTTGGCGAACACAGGCTAACACCTAGAAACTTGACAGAGAGTATGACACACTATGGCTGGAAGGAGACACAAAGAAAACATGTCAGCAACCAGGTCATTGAAGCCCATTCAAGAAACAGTAAGGAACTTTGCTCCCAGAGTTGAAAGCCTTAGAGAGAGAATCAAGTGAACAGTGAAATGGGTAAGAACAGTACCTAGTATAGTACCTGGCAGGCAGAAAGTTCTCAATTAACCTGAACGCCCTAAGATATAATGTTGTAGAGGATAGGAAAGCTGGAGGAGCAGGGAGGAGAGGGTGAATCTGGAAAGGGGTTTGGGAGAAATGGGGCAGGTCTGTGAGAGGCAAGCAGAAAGGCGGGGAAGGCCATTCTAGGGATTGGTTGAGAGGCAGGATGGCAGTGGCCCAAAGGCGAACCTGGGGTTGGAAGCGCAGGAAGGTAGGAACAGAGCTGTATTTGCAGGAGGCAGGACACAGCCTGGACAGCCTTCTTTCACTCACACTTTAGCTCCAGTCTCGGAGGCCCAGACACTGTAGGAATATTCATACACCTCTTCTCCTCCTTCTCTTTGCGGCCTTCCTCCAACTCTTCATCTTCCCACCTACAAGAAGGTCTGCAGGGACAGGGAAAAGGGGCACCTTTCATAGAGGGCAGCTGCTTGATCTACTCCTCTATGGGACTCTGAGGAGGCCCCACCCCGTGCCGTACCTCCCAACACCACAGCGGCCTGCATCCTTCACATCAAAGCTGCTTTGCTTACCTATGCTGAGCATCTACTGTGTTGCTTTGCACCTTGGCTGAGGTCCCAGTCACTTGGTGGGCCTTGCTTGGAACCTGGAGCCTTTCTGGAGCTGGAGCTGGGGTCTTGGAATGAAGGGGAATACAGGCAATTGGTTTGAGAATGTGAACGGGTGTGTGTGTTAATGCTGAAACTTGAACTCAGGGCCTCATGCTCTTGCTCAGATTCTTTACTCCTGGCTAGAGCTCTACCACTTGAGCTATGCTGTTTTTTTTTTTTTGTTTTGTTTTTTGTTTTTTGCCAGACCTGGGGCTTGAACTCAGGGCCTGGGTGAAAGGAAAATGTAACCCACGTAGAAAGTAATGCAAAAGACCATGCGGACAGAAGTTGCCTAGAGGAAAAGATTGATTGCCAGTGGAGCTAAAAAGGCCAAGTTTTTCATAAAGAAAGAGAAAATGGTGCTGTCTAGCTCCTTGGAGGCCCCTTTTATATCGCTGGGGGTCGGAAGTGGGCGGTGCCTCACCTACTGCGCAGGTGCTGCCATCAAGGGTGGAGATTAGGTTTGGGGGGAAAGGGGAGGCGGTTCCTTTTTTTGTTTGTTTGTTTGGTGGTGGTGGGGCTTGAACTCTGGGCCTGGGCACTGTCCCTCAGCTCTTGAACTCAAGGCTAGCACTCTACCACTTGAGCCACAGTACCACTTCTGGCTTTTTCTGCTTATGTGGTGCTGAAGAATCAAACCCAGGGCCTCATGCATGCAAGGCAAGCATTCCACTACTGAGCCACCTTCCCAGCCCCGGCATTTCCTTATACTGGGCACTATCCCTGAGCTTCTTTTACTCAAGATACTGAGGAATTGAACCCAGGGCTTCATGCATGCTAGGCAAGCACTCTATTACTAAGCCACATTCCCAGCCCTCACACCTTCTTTTTAAAGTTTTTTTTTGCTGGCTAATTGGAGATACAGTTTCTCCAACTTTTCTGCCTGGGCTGGCTTTGAACTGCAATCCTCAGATCTCAGCCTCCTGAGTAGAATTACAGGCATGAGCTATCAGTTCCAAGCTACATCAAGCTAACTTGATTTAAAAAAAAAAAAAAAAAGTGTGTGTATGCCAGTTCTGGGGCCTTAACTGAGGACCTGGGTGCTGTCTTTGAGCTTTTTTGCTCAAGGCTAGCTCTCTACCATTTGAGCTACAGCTCCACTTCTAGAGTTTAGGTGGTTATTTGGAGATAAGAGTCTCACTGACTTTCTGCCTGGGCTTGCTTTGAACCGCGATCCTCAGTTCTCAGCCTCCTGAGTAGCTAGAATGGCAGCGGAACCAGTAATATCGAGAGTCTAAGTACATTTTTTACATACTGACTTCAAGAGTCTGTATCCCATGGGCTTACAAATCAATCACTGTAGCTTGAGTTACAGATGTGAGCCACCAGTGCCTGGCTGATTTATTTTCAGTGTTGGGGATCAAACCCAAAGCCTCACACATGCTATGCAAGCACGCTTCCATTGAGCTATTACCCCCCTCCCCAAGTCCCAGATTTGCAGATTGCAAGATTGCTTACAGATTGTAGATATGGTAGATATGTAGAGGACATAAAACCTCTTAAATACATATAATAAATTTTCAGTTCCTGGTAGCTCATGCCTAAAATCATAGCTATTGAGGAGACTGAAATCTGAGGGTCCAGTTCAAAGCCAACCTGGGCAGAACAGTCCATGAACCTCTTATCTCAAATAAACTACTCAGAAAAAGCTGGAAGTGGTTCTGTGGCTCAAGTGGTAGAACACAAGCCTTGAACACAAAGAGGCTTAGAGCCAGTTCCCAAGCCTTGAGTTCAAGCCCCAGAACTGGCAAAAAAAAATCAGTTCCTGGGGAGAGAAGTTTTCTGAGAGCATCTCGATATGCAGAGGCAGTTGAGAGCCAACTAAAGAGACTAGGAAGTAGAGTGAGGGGGAGAAAGAGCCCAGAAATGAGGAAAGTGAAGACCTACAAAGAAATGTCCCAATAACTGAGATGGGTGAGTGACTTCTTTGGAGTACTATCGCCATCTTGTGGCCATTTTGGGAATTGCAGTCTTTTCACATCCATAGAGAGGATTTTTAAAAAATTATTAATTAATTAATTAATTTTTATTTATTTATTTGTTGCTAGTCATAGGGCTTGAACTCAGGGCCTGGGCACTGTCCCTGAGCTTCATTTGCTCCAGACTAGTGCTCTACCACTTGAGCCACAGAGCCACTTCCAGCTTTTTCTGTTTATGTGGCACTGAGGAGTCGAACCCAGGGCTTCATGTATGCTAGGTGAGCATTCTACCACTAGGCCACATTCCTACCCCCAAAGAGGATTCTTGATTGTACTTCTTGGCCTAAACTGGCCCTGTAACCTCTCAGTCAAAGTCTTGAGACTGCTTTCCTAGAGATATGCCATAATCCCCACATCCCTGTATCTGGGAACATGATATACATCCCACATGCTGGCCAGGGATAGAAGGACAAGATGGACACAGATGAGCAGTTAAGCATGTCATCCCTGAGACCTGCCTACAGTCATCGCCTTCTCTGGGCAACCTTATCCCCACCTCCAGCTCCTTGTCTCCGGTGTCATCTCACCTGGGCACAAACCTGGATCAGGTGGGTCTTCATGGCATCTGCCAGCTTGGCCACTAGCCGTTCTCGCACAGAAACTGGCTCCTTCTGGGGAGAAAGGAGAAAATGGAGGAACTGAGGAAGGCCTGGGCTTTGCAGCTCTCAAGAAACTAAGGGGAGAAAGAAACAAGTTGAGGAGGGATGGGGGGGGGGTTCTCCCCTCTCTTCTATCCTATCCCATGCCACTAAGCCCAGAACTGTAGACAAAAGAGATCACGTCCTCCTCAGATCCCGGATATCCCACAACTCAGCACACATATGCGTCTAGTACATGTGTAATGAGTGAACAAGTGTGGGAGAGGAGAGTCAGCTGGAGAAGGCTTCGGGAGGAGGCGCAGCGGGAAGAGTCAGTCTAACACAGAGGTCTCACCTGACACTGAGCCAGCGCCGCCTTATAGTACTTCAAGGCCTGGTCATACTGCCCGAGCCTGGCTGCAGAAGCCCCAAGGCCCTCGCAGGCCTGCCACTGTCCTTTCATGTCCCCTGAGAAAGAGAGCCTGAAAGGTCCTCTCATCTTTCTTTGTCCCATGGACCTTCACCTTCAGAAGTATGCCTCACCCTCAAGTTCCCCCATCTGCTTCCCCACCAGCCCCAAGAATCTTCAGTCTCTTAGGTCCCCCCCCAACCCAAGTCAAATGCTACCCCTCTCATTCTCACCAGTGTCCTGGGCAGCCTGCAAGGCGTGCAAGTAGTTGTCTCTGGCGGATTTGTGGTCCCCCAGCTGGCTAAGAGCAAATGCCAGGCTGCTGAAGCTCCGTCCCTGTTCCCACCGCTGCCCCATAGAGCCTGACAACACAGCATAGCTTGTCCTAGGAGGAAGCTTTACCTGTTGGAGACCATGTTCCCCGGCAAACAAGGTGGTGTGGGGAGGGGAGTGGGTGTTCTTAGGTGTTGATGCTGACACCTCCAGGTGGGCTACAGAGACCTGAACTCTGGATGCCCAGTCTCTTTTGAGTTTTGGTCTAAGTGCCTCCCCTGGCTAGTATGAGCCATGTAACACGCTTGTGAGGCTCCACTTTTATATATTCTAAAACAAGTTCAGAGAGAGCAAGTGATTTGCTACCTTTTTTTTCTTTCTTTCTTTTTTTTGGGCGGGGGGGAGGGTCCGGTCATGGGCCTGAACTCTGGGCTTGGGTGCTGTCCCTCAGCTCTTCAGCTCAAGGCTAGCGCTCTACCACTTGAGCCACAGCGCCACTTCCGGCTTTTTTCTTTTTTGCTTATGTGGTGCTGAGGAATCGAACCCAGGGCCTCAGGCATGCAAGGCAAGCACTCTACCACTGAGCCACCTTCCCAGCCCTCCTTTAGCTTTTGTCTTGTGTTCTACTACTTAAACCACAACTCCACTTCCAGGACTTTACTAGTTAATTGGAGATAAGAAGCTCTTAGACTTTTCTGCCTGGGATAGCTTTTAACAATCCTCAGCTCTCAGCTTCCAGCATAGCTAGGACTGGAACTGTGAGCCACTACCCTGCAGATTAGCTGCTAGTCAACAATAGTGGGAGGAAGGGCTTGTTCCTCTCCAGGTCTCCTAACCTCCAGTTCCCAGCTTCCCCCCCACCTCCTTCATACCCCTCTCCACCCCCTCCAACCCCCCCCCCCCCCCAGCCCATGGACCTCCATTTGTCTGGCTAGTCTATCTCCTCTACTCCCAGTCCCTAACCCACTGGCTCTGGCCTTCCAAGCCCAATAACTCAGCCCAAAGGTCCATCCATCTTTATTGTCCTGGAGCACTGGCAATTCCTTGGTTCCAGTTCTATTCTCCAGCCCCTGGCGCTTACCATGCAGGTTGGCAGCCTTGTGGTGAAAATCCCGGGCTTCCTCGTAGTCGCCAAGGGCATTGTGAGCCATCCCAAGGTTTCCCAGCACCGTAGCCCGTTCTCCTGGCTCCTGGCACAGGGGTAGAGCCTGCAGGAAGGCCTCTAGTGCCAGAGGGAACAGCTGGAGCTGGGCATAGCCCAGGCCTAGGTCATTATAGAGTGGCCCTAGAGGGCACAGCCAAGGTCACTGGTAGCCAATTCAGTCATACCTAAGGGTGTACAGGTACAGCCCCCCCCCCCAGGCTCCCCCTCTCCTGGGTCCCTCAGCTTCTTCCCCAACCCTCAGTATATCACCGGGACTACTGTTTCCCCAGATCCCACGTCCTCTCAGCCCAAGGACTCACCCAGCAATCCTGTCTTGGTGCTCCTCTCAGCAAGTTTCCGGCTCTCCTCCAGCACCTGTACCACCTCACCCACCCCATGCTGCCCACTTTTCAACATACACCCAGCTGCAGCCCCCAGTGCCAGGGCTGCGGCCTGGGGCTGGCCTGCTAGGGCATAGGCCTGGCTTGCTTCCTGCAGGCAGTGGACTGCTTGCTCAGGCTGTCCCAGGGCCTGGTAACAGGCTCCCATTTTTGCCTGGGTTTCCCCCTGGTTACCTTGTGGCTGGTAATGGCCCAGGGCCCTGTGGTACCAGTTCAAAGCTTGGGGCAGGTCACCAAGAGCATGATAGGCTAAAGCTACATTAAAACACTGGTCCCCATGACACCTGCCCTGGGGATTTTGTGCAGGCTGGGCTTGCAGCAGCAGTTCCAGGCCTCTGGCTGGGTCCCCAGTCTCCACATAAGCAGCCCCCAGGTTGAAGGCACAGGCTTGAAGCACAGAGATGTCCTTGGTTCTTGGGGCCTTAGAGGCCAGTAGGAAGGCCTTCTGGAAACTGCTTAAGGCCTCATGGTTCCGGCCGGCCTGCAGGGCCCCATGGCCAGCCCTAGTGAGGGCTTGGATGCTGGCCTCTTGCTGTAGCCGCTTTCTTTTCTTCTTTTTTTTCTTGCAGTTTGAAGACTCAGGCTCAGGCTCAGGCTCTGGGAGGACAGCCTCACGATTGGGGGAAGACATGTTGCTGACAACAACGGGTAATACAGGGCTCAGTATGTCTGCCTGGACTTCCCAGCAGGGTCCCTCAAGAGCAGTTAGTTCTTTTTTTGTTGTTGTTGGTCATAGGGCCTGAGCTCTGGGCCTGGGCGCTGTCCCTCAGCTCTTCAGTTCAAGGCTAGCACTCTACCACTTCCATAGCGCTACTTCCGGCTTTTACTGCTTATGTGGTGCAGAGGAATTGAACCCAGGGCCTCATACATGTGAGGCAAGCACTGTACCACTGAGCCACCTTCCCAGCCCCATGAGAGAGCATTTAGTTCTACCCCTGCCTGGTGTAACTTTCAAGGTTCCCAAGATACCACTCCTGACATCTCACCTTAGTTCATCTAAGGTGGGCAGCATGCTCAGCCCTTTGCTCTAAGGGCCTTATGGGTTTTTGTTGTTGTTATTGTTTGTTTTTGGTTTTTCTCCCCTGGTACTGGGGCTTGAACTCAGGGCCTTTGTGGCCCTGGTTGGCTTTTTCACTCAAAGCTGGCACTCTACTACTTAAACCATACCTCTATTTTTAAGGGTTTTTTTTTCTGGTTAATTGGAGTTAAGAATCTCTCAATTTGTCTGCCCAGGCTGGCTTCCTATGATTTCCCTCCGATCTCAGCCTCCTTAATAGCTAGGATTACAGATGTGAGCCACCAATACCTGGTTCTCTTTTGGGAGGAAGGGGTGGTCCTAGGGATTGAACTAAGGCCTGGGTACTGTCCCTAAGCTATTTTTCTCAAAGACAGATCTCTACCACTTGAGCAATAGCACCACTTCTGGTTTTCTGGTGGTTGATTTGGAGATAAAGAGTCTCATGGAAGCCGGGCGCTGGTGGCTCACGCCTGTAATCCTAGCTACTCAGGAGGCTGAGATCTGAGGATCGCGGTTCAAAGCCAGCCCGGGCAGGAGAGACCATGAGACTCCTATCTCCAATAAACCACCAGAAAACCGGAAGTGGCGCTGTAGCTCAAGTGGTAGAGTGCTCGCCTTGAGCTGAAGAGCTGAGGGACAGCGCCCAGGCCCAGAGTTCAAGCCCCACAACCGAAAAAAAAAAAAAAAAAAAAGAGTCTCATGGACTTTCCTGCCAGGGCTAGCTTTAAAATGTGACCTCAGCCTCTTGAGTAGTTAGGATTACAGGTGTGACCCAACAAGGACCTTATTTTAAAAATTCTCCTCAACCAAGTAACAGCTTCCTTCAGGAAGCTCCCTTTTATTGATTTTTGTCCCAGCTCTGAAGAAGATGATAATCAAGAAGAAGAACAAGAAGAGGAAGAAGAGGTGGAGGGGAAGGAGGAAGAAAAGGAAGGAAGGGAAGGTGAAGAAAAAGGAGGGGAGGGGAAGGAAGGAAATTGAGGGGAGAAGAAGGGAGGGATGAAGATGGGAAGAAGAGCCTCCTTCCTGCAACCAGTTTGAAACTTCTGTGGCTCACAGAATCTTATGCAATCTTTCATGGCATAATTCACACTGGGTTAGAGATGATGGCATTCCTGTCTGTTTCTCTTACTAAACTTGGAGCAACTTAAAGGCACATTGTATATTCTCAATAAGATTATTAAATAAGATGAAAAAATTCTTGGCTATGGTGATGATTGCCCAACAATGTGAGTATACTTAATGCCACTGAGCTGGAGGCTTAAAAATGGATGTCAGACTTGTGACTCAAGCTTGTAATCCTAGCTACTTGGGAGGCAGAGATTGGGGATCTCAGTTCTCAAGCAAAAAGATTTCCAAGAGACTCTATCTTAACCAATGGCTGGGTGCTACGGTGTGCATCTGACATCCCAACAAGGCACAAATAGGAAGACTGCAATTCAGATACAACATAAAAGCAAGATCCTATCTTCAAAATAATGCAAAAAGGAGTTGGTGGAGTACCTCAAGTAGAATAGCACCTGCCTAGCAAGTATGAGGTCAAACCCCAGTACCACACACACACACAAAAACAGTTAAAGTTAAAACTGGAGAGTAGGGGTAATTCAGTGGCAAAGCAATTGCCTAGCATGTGAGAGGCCCTGGATTCAAAGCTTGAAAATGGTAATTTATTTTTAATTTTTTGTGCTGGTCCTGGGGCTTGAACTCAGGGCCTGGATGCTATCTCTGAGGTTTTTTTGTTGAACACTCTACCACTTGAGCCACAGCTCTGCTTCCAGCTTTTTTGGTAGTTTAATGAAGAGTCTCATGGACTTTCCTGCCCAAGCAGGTTTTGAACCTCAATCCTCAGATCCCCGAGTAGCTAGGATTATAGGCAAGAGACATCGGAACCTAGCTTAAAATGGTATTGGGGGGGGGGGGGCCTGGGAAGGTGGCTCAGTGGTAGAGTGCTTGCCTTGCATGCATGAGGCCCTGGGTTCGATTCCTCAGCACCACATAAGCAAAAAGGAAAAAGCTGGAAGTGGCGCTGTGGCTCAAGTGGCAGAGCGCTAGCCTTGAGCTGAGGGACAGCGCCCAGGCCCAGAGTTCAAGGCCCCACGACCGGACCCAAAAAAAACCAAACAAACAAAAAAAATGGTTGATGATTTTTTTTTTGGTCGGTTGTGGGGCTTGAACTCTGGGCCTGGGTGCTGTCCCTCAGCTCTTCATCTCAAGGCAAGAGGGGTACCACTTGAGCCACAGCACCACTTCCAGTATGGTGCCAAGGAATCGAACCTAGGGCCTCATGCATGCAAGACAAGCGTTCTACCACTGAGCCACCTTCCTAGCCCTAAAATGGTAATTTATTTTATTTTATTTATTTATTTTTTTGGTCATGCGGCTTGAACTCTAGGCCTGGACCTGTCCCTGAGTTCTTCAGCTCAAGGCTAGCACTCTACCACTTGAGCCACAGCGCCACTTCTGGCTTTTTCTGCTTATGTGGTGCTGAGGAATCAAACCCAGGGCCTCATGCATGCGGGGCAAACACTATACCGCTGAGCCACCTTCCCAGCCCCTAAAATGGTAATTTCTAAGACAAAGACAGGACAACAGTTAAAGGACCTATCCTCCTTCCCCCTCCCCATTATACCTCTACACACACCTGCCCACTTGTAATATAGGAACTCTTGCTGTCTAATCCAGGATGCAGTTCAGGTCAATGACTTCCTGCTACATGCCAGGAACCATGCTAGGCACTGGGGATCCAAAGCTGAACAGGCTACTGATGATCAGGGAGCCAACCCCCAGGAGAGGGGTTCTGGCCCAGCATATACTGCCTTCTCCCTACTTCTGGGGAACTTCTCTGTCTCCATCTCTATTTTCTGTCTGCTGGGTGGAAACTTCATATCTTGCTTTATTTCCCAAAGTCCTCTTAAGCATTCATCTCATCAGCATGTGTACTATGTAAGTATCTTTCCCCTTCAAAGGCAAAACCTTTTCTGCATTCTCCTCCCAGGAGACAGAAAAAGAAGTTGAAAAGACCCAGCTTTGAGCTCCTGGTCCCTCCCTTCAGCTGCCTTTGTTCTTAAAGACAAGATCTCAGTATGTTAGTCTAGGCAGGCCTCAAGCTCCAGATCCTCCACACACGTATATGTATATATGGCCTTTTTTTTTTTTTCTTTCCTTTTTTAGAACGTCCAGGCAGAATTTCTGTAAGTAATGTATTCTCTTTTCATAAAATAGTCCCTGAAGTGGGGGCACAGTGGCTTATGTCCTTAATCCTTGCTACTTGGGAGGCAGAGTTCAGGAGGATTGCAATTCCAGGCTAGCTGGGGTAAAAAGTTCAGAAAACCCCATCTCAACCAATAAATCCCATCTCAACCATCATCCCAACTCATGGGAAGTGTAAAGAGGAAGATTGTAGTCTAGGCCAGCCCAGGCATAAATTTAAGATCTAATTTCAAAAATAATGAAAGTGAAAGGGCTGGGGTGTGGCTCAAGTGGTACAACCCTGGCACAAGTAGTACAAGGCTCTGAATACAGAAAAAAAAATTATCTGTAGAATTGGGGATTTAGCTTAGTGGTTGAGTGTTTGCCTAGAAAGCATACTAGGCTTGTTCCTTAGCACCAAGAAAAAAAAGAAAAACCTTTTTTTTTTTGCTTCTAAAAACACCCAGAGATCCTGACTTTCAACCCAGAGGCATTTCTGGCTACCCCCACCCAGTTTTGGGGGGCCCTGCTTCAGGATACCTTACCTCTTTAGCTTTTCCCCCAGCAGTTCTGGCTTTCTGGAATGGTTCCTCTGTCTTGGGTTACTTCCTCTAGCTCTTAGCTGACAGCCCCCAGGGTTACTAGGCAACTGACTACCTCCCTCCACTCTCAGGGTATCCTTTGAGTGATAGTGTAAGTGGCCTATCCTAGCTAAACACACAGACACCTGAGTTCTATTTCTCTTTCTGCCCTGTTTTGCCTCTGACCCCTGCAGACATGGCAGCTCAAGCTTCTACTTCAAGTAATAAATCAAAGCATCACAGGCTAGGATCATCACTCCCAGCTGGGCTCCAGGCCCTGAGTTCAAACCCCAGGATGAACAATGTATACACACACACACACACACAAAACATCAATCCCATTCCTTCATTTGATAAAATGACGGCAGCTCAAAGAGCTGGTATGGCTTGCTCAAGAACACAGAGCCCTACTATGTAGGTGGAATGAAAACACAAGTGTTCTGATTATCCTAGAGATCCTACCAGTACAAAGTGATTGATAATTCGTTGGGTTTGGTTTTTTTTTTGGTGGGGGGGAGGGGCTGTACCAGTACTAAGGTTTGAATTCAGGATCTTCACTCCCATTTGGCTTTTTCACTCATAGGCTGGCACTTTTACTGTTTGAGCCACATCTTCAGACCAGCATTTTTGCTGGTTAATTGGAGATGGAGTCTTTTGGACTTTTCTGTCCAGACTGGCTTTGAGTTTCAATCCTCAGATCTCAGCCTCCTGAGTAGACAGGCTTAAAGGCATGAGCCACCAACCAATACCTGGCTGATTGATTGTTTAAATGGGCTTTGGCTATCTCGGAAGTAGACCTTTTCATATATGCACTCACATTCTTCCATACTGTGCTCTGTGTGACAGTTTCACATTTGGAAACAAGGTAAAAGGGTGATGATCATAAAAGGCTTGAACATCAGAAGATCCTCCCCATCCCTGGGCTCCATTTCCTAGCTCCACTGATCTATAACCTCCAGGTCTGCTTAATGAGAGGATAGTAGGCCCCAGGACCACAAGGACCTAATGACCCAACTCAACAAGGGTGGCCTGCATCAGAAAGCAAGTGTCCTCATTTGCTTAGATAAAGGCTTCTTTTAAGTAGAGAGGCCTATGCCAGGAACAAACTATAAGGAAGTAGTTGGGCTTACCAGTATTTGCTCAGCAGACTTTGCCAAGAGCCTGCAATGTTCAGGGAGGTTGCAAGGGTACCATTTAGGGGTGTTTTTTTTTTTTTTTGGTTGGTTGTGGGGCCTGAACTCTGGGCCTGGGCGCTGTCCCTCAGTTTTTCAGCTCAAGGCGAGTGCTCTACTTGAGCCACAGTGCCACTTCCGGGTTTTTCTGCTTATGTGGTGCTGAGGAATCGAACCCAGGGCTTCATGCATACAAGGCAAGCAATCTACCACTGAGCCACCTTCCCAGCCCTGGGTACCATTTAGGTACCCATGCCCCAGGCAGTCTCTCTAGCTGCCTGCTGATACTGTCTATAGTCAGGGCCTCTAGAATGCTATCACAGCCTGATCAGGGCCAAATACAAAGTTCAATCAATCCTTCACTCAGCATACTTCCCTTAAGGAAGAGGATGATGTAGGGAGAGGGTAGGGACTAAAATCTTCTCTCACCAACATTCCAGTGACCTCCCAATGATCCAGTGATCACTTCTGGATTGTTTACTTGTTTGATCCCCAGCTCAAAACATTCTTGCAAGTTCCTCTTTTCCTCTTTTTATTTGGTTTCCTTCATCCACTATGGCTTGATCTGTTTCTGTCAATTACTTTTTTTCTTTTTCTTTCTTGTTTTTATATCTATCTATCTATCCATCCATCTATTTTTGCCAGTCCTGGGGCTTGAACTCAGGGCTGGGTACTGTCCCTGAGCTTCTTTTGCTCAAGTAACATTCCTTGTCCCCCATCTTTTTTTTTTTTTTAATCAAGACTGGTACTCTATCACTTGGGCCACATTTTCACTTTCACTTTTGGATGGTTTATTGGAAATTAAGAGTTTTACAGACTTTCTTGCTTGGGTTGGCTTCGAACCACAATCTTCAGATCTCAGCCTCTTGAGTAGCTGGATTACAGGTGTGAGTCACTGGTACCTGGCTCCATCTCCTTTTCTGAGTCCTTTGCCTACCTCCTAAATGCTAGTGTTCCCCAACACTCTACCCTTTGCTATTTTCTCTCCTTTTATATATTCTTCTTTTTTTGTCAGTTGTGGGGCTTGAACTCTGGGCCTGGGAGCTGTCCCTCAGCTCTTCAGCTAAAGGCTAGCGCTGTACCACTTGAGCCACAGCACCACTTCTAGCTTTTTCTGCTTATATGGTGCTGAGGAATCGAACCCAGGGCCTCTTGCATGCAAGGCAAGCACTCTACCACTGAGCTACTTTTCCAGCCCCTCTTACAAGAACATTTTGTTCTTTGGTCAGTTGTGGGGCTTGAACTCTAGGGCCTGGGCGCTGTCCTTCAGCTCTTCAGCTCAAGGCTAGCACTCTACTACTTGAGCCACAGTGCCACTTCCAGTTTTCTGGTAGTTAATTGAAGATAAGAGTCTCATAGACGGTCTTGCCTGGGCTGGCTTTGAACTGTGATCCTCAGATCTCAGCCTCCTAAGTACCTAGGATTACAAGCATGAGCCACCAGCTCCCAGCTTCTAAGAACATTTTATCCACACTGATAAGCCAATAAAATGCATACATATAGGCTTGTCCGAGTGAAAATTTCCGTTATCTACAGTGATCTACTAAGCTAGAGACAATTCTTTTAGCATTTAGTCTAATGATTCTACCTTTGAAATCTCTCCATACAACCTCTTTTCTGCAATTTCATGGCTATGCTGTTGGAGGTGGCAGTGGTGATGAACTTAAGCTTGGAGTGGAACTATTCTGTTTAAATCTTGTCTCTGTCAGTTATTAACTATGCAACGTTTTTCCCCCTGTGCTGGAGCTTGAACTCAGGGCCTTAAGCACTCTGGTTCAGCTTGCTTGCTCATAGCTAGCACTCTACCCCTTCAGCCACACCTCTAGCTAACTTTTTGCTAGTTAATTGGAAATGATGTTCCATATACTTTTCTGCCCTAACAAGCTTGGACTCTTGATCTTCAAGTTCTCACCCTCCTGAGTAGCTAGGATTACAAATGTGAACCTCTAGCATAGGACTGTATGACCTTCTAAAACCTCAATTTTTCCACTTATTTTTGTGTTTGTGCACAGGTGTATATGTGCCAATTCTGGGCCTTGAAATCAGGACCCGGGGATTATACCTGAACTTTTTTGCATTCTTCTATTTGAGCCACAGCTGTACTTATAGCTTTTTGTGATGAATTGGAGGTAAGAGTCTCTTGAACTTTCCATGATCCTCAGACCTCAGTCTACTGAATAGCTAGGATTACAGGTGTGAGCTATTAGCAGCTGGCTCCACTTGTATTTTATTTCTTTTTCTTTTTTGCCTACCAAGGTTTGTTAGTATCTTGCTTGGTTAGCTGTCACTCTACTAGTTGAGCCATGCCTCCAGTTCAGGTTTTTTTGTTGGTTAATTTTGAAGATGAAGTCTCTCAAACTTTTCTACCCAGCTTTCTTCAAACCATGATCCTCCAGGTCTCAGCTTTCTGAGTACCTAGAATTACAGGCATTAGCAACCAGCACTCGGCTCTCATCTGTATTTTGAGGATTAAATAAGATGGTTCATCATAAATGATGGTAAAAATACAGTATCTACTATATTGTAGATACTTGGTACCCACTGATGTGTGTTGATACATAACTCTGATTATACAAGAAATACAACTCTACCCAGTTTCTGTCGCAAGTGCCTATTGTACTTGGTGATGGAAACAATGTGAGTCACTTTGGGACTTCCCTCTCCTTTTCCCCAGGGTATTGTCCAAATTGGGGAGCTATAGAATGGCAAGACCTGAGAGGGGTTGCTGGGCACTGGTGGTTCATGCCTGTAATCTAGCTATGCAGGAGACTGACACCTAAAGGATCACAGTTCAAAGCCAACCCAGGCATTAAAGTCTATGAGACTCCATCTCCAAGTAACCAGCGGATACACAGGCTGGAGATGCCAGCTGTGAGCAAGTAAAGCTGAGCAAAAATATGAGGCCCTGAGTTCAGACCCTGAAACTGGCGAATGTATTTTGTTCCAACAGAGTTGTTGGTATAATTATTTAAAAAAATTAGTTCGGAGCTGGGCACCGGCGGCTCATGCCTGTAATCCTAGCTACTTAGGAGGCTGAGATCTGAGGATCATGGTTAAAAGCCAGCCAGGGCAGGAAAGTCAAAGAGACTTTTTTTTTTTTTTGTCGGTCGTGGGGCTTGAACTCTGGGCTTGGGTGCTATCCCTCAGCTCTTCAACTCAAGGCGAGTGCTCTACCACTTTAGCCACAGCACCACTTCCAGTTTTCAGATGGTTTATTGGAGATGAGTCTCACGGACTTTCCTGCTCGGGCTGGCTTTGAACCGTGATCCTCAGATCTCAGCCTCCTGAGTAGCTAGGATTACAGGTATGAGCCACCGGGACCTGGCTTCAGTGAGACTCTTATCTCCAATAAACTACCAGAAAACTGGAAGTGGCACTTTGGCTCAAGCAGTAGAGGGGCTCACCTTGAGCTGAAGAGCGCAGGGACAGTGCCCAGGCCCAGAGTTCAAGCCCAAGAACAACAACAACAAATTAGTTTGGAACATGAATATGTGTTCTCAGCGAGACTTCAATAGCCTATCAGTTGGACTTTGTCCCTAGCCTCATCCTGCTCCAAACTCTACTACAAGAGGTATCTTTCTAAAACATAAACATGCCTTTGACCTAAGTCTAAAGAGTTGTTCTCCCCGGATGCAGTGGCTCACGCCTGTAATCCTAGCTACTCAGGAGGCTGAGATCTGAGGATTACACTTCAAAGACAGCCGGAGCAGGAAAGTCTGTGAGACTCTTATCTCCAATTAACCACCAGAAAACTTGAAGTGTCTCTGTGGCTCAAGTGGTAAAGTGCTAGCTTTGAGCTGAAGAGCTCAGGGACAGTGCC